GGTTTCCATCCACACGGCTAGGGTTGCACTTTGCACGGCCGTGTGATTTTCATGGGTTGCCCGTGCGTGCTCTCGCATAATCCCGCACGGCCTGGCTTGGCCTTCGCACGGCCGTGTGATTCCCCTGGCCTGGCTGTGCAGCTTCCTTGAAACCTCGCCATTCGTCCGATCTTCGTCCTATCGACCCCAGACTCGCTCCTAAGCCTTCATTCACGTACTAGGACCTGAAATATCACAAACAAGCACAACCTAGAGTGAAATCGGCCTAAAACACGAGAATCAACACCCCAAACGGAGTAAGAGCAGGGGTAAAAACATGTGTAAATAACGGTCTATCACTTTGCCGTACACCAATAGGTAAAGCGAGACGCCTATTGGGATTTTGTAAGCCTTACGGTACACCCATAGTCATTGAGTTTTGCGGACCAAAGGATTGGTCTATAGTCTTTTCCAGAATCCTTTTCAATTCCCTATTTGACAACTCTACTTGTCCACTTTTTTTAGGATGATAGGCCATTAACACCCGGTGGGTAACACCATAGCGATCGAGGAGTTTGTCAAATTGCCCCTGAAAATGGGTTCATTGATCTCTGATGATGGCCCTCAGGGTCCCAAATCGGGAAAACAGTTTTTAAGAAATCCGCAAACCTGTCTTGCATCATTGGTGGAAAGGGTCGACCCACCTCGAGACGTAGTCCACAACCACTAGAATGTACTTGTTTCTGAGAGATGAGTGAAAGGGTCCCATAAGGTCGATGCCCCAAACATAAAAAATCTCACATGTAATGGAAATCATTTGGGGCATCTCATTTCGGTTAGACACATTACCTGTCATTTGGAAGCTGTCACCATGACTCACAAATGTTTAGGCATCCCGGAATAGGGATGGCCAATAGAATCCCAATTGAAGCACCTTCCTTGCAGTTCGGTTGGCATCATGATGGCCTCCAGCTGGTCCCTTGTATCAGTGGGTTAAGATAGCCGTCATCTCCTTCTCCGGGACACAACTCCAAATGAACTCATTGGCTCCAATCCGAAAAAGGTGGGGATCATCCCAGAAATAGTATCGGTGATCGGAGAACAACTTCCTTTTCCCATTTACATTCATCCCCTTGGGCAGTTGCCTTCCAACCAAGTAATTGGCAAAGTTGGCGAACCAAGGGGCGACACTCTCAATAGTTGCAAGCACGAACAACCGTTCATCGGGGAAAGTGTCATTTATCTATCTTTTAGGGGTGCTCCCTCCCTGTCCTTCGAGTCGCGAGAGGTGGTCCGCCGCAAGATTTTTGGCTCCTTTTTTGTCTTTGATCTCCACATCAAACTCTTGGAGAAGTAGGATCCTTCGGATTAGGCGGGCTTGCCATCGGCCTTTGACACGCTACGACACAACACCAAACTGGCTCCGGCCACCGATTTCCGTCGGCCCTGCCTAGTTCCGGCCGCCGCAAATTTTCGGACTATAGTCCGTATTTGGAATTTTCTGAAAAAATCGATTTTAGGAGTTGAATTTAGAGTTTAGGAGTTGAATTTAGCGTTTAAGAGTTGAATTTAGCGTGTAAGAATTGAATCTAGAGTTTAGGATTTGAATTTAGAGTTTAAGTATTAAATTTAGAGTTTAGGAGTTGAATTTAGCGTGTAAGAAATGAATTTAGAGTTTAGGAGTTGAATTTAGAGTTTAAGTATTAAAATTAGAGTTTAGGAGTTGAATTTAGAGTTTAGGAGTTGAATTTAGCAGTTAAGACTTGAAATTAGCGCTTAGGTTCACAGGAATATTGATGTGTTATATTGTAATTGTAGGAAAAATGTCAGAGTGGTTACCGGCCGATCATGATTACACACAGGAATTTGAGAATGGGATCCATTATGCAAGTGTGAAGTTAGCTGAGTTAGCTGCAAAAGCAATCGCTCAGGAGTGTGGGTTCTTTATTGTTAGAGGAGCATGGAAACTAAATACTGCTGGACTACATCCTGTTACTGCTCTCTGTATGTATTACGACAGAAACAGTAGGATCGTTAAGTCTTATAAACCAGACCCTACGAAGGAGATGCGTGGGAATATTATTTTGAAGGGTACTGGTTGCCAGTTTCAGATATGTATTAAGGAAGTATGGCAAGAGAATGGTCCAAACACATGGGTCATAGTGGGAGTGATAAGTCGTGTAACCGGAGCTAATAGAGGGTTTCACAACCATGAAAAGGTGCTGTATCTAGAACATCACAGACACAACAAACAGTTTAGTGAGGCTGAAAAAGAGAGGTTAAGATTAATGAGGAAGGCGGGGGTGAGACCAAATCAGCAGAAGACGACACTCAATACTGAAGGGGGTGTGCATCATGATATCAAACAGATTGTATTTTAAATGTGCCTAGTGTCATTATGAACTTATGGATTTCATTATCATCATGAACTTATGGATTTCATTATGGATTTCATTATCTACCCTCGATGTTTTAATCATGAGTGTGCAAACATCCGATCCAAACATAAGTAGTGAAACATCCGATCTAAACATAAACATGGAAACATGTAGTCTAAACATAAACATCCGATCCAAACATACATAAGTACTCAAACATCCGTTCTAAACATAAATATGCAAACATGCAGTCTAAACATAAACATCCGATCTAAACACAAATAGTACAAATCATAAATGATCCAAACATCAAAACAATTAAAAATCCCCTAAGGGGGGAGTCCCTGAGAGACCCAGTACTAAGTCCACACATCCTGCACTCCGTGCAGTGCCATGTAGGCTCGTCGAGAATGCTCAAGAAACTCCTCCTCGGTCCCTGCTGCAGCTCGAACCGCAGGTGCAAACGTGTACAAAATGTCGCTAGCACACTGCATAAAAAAAACAAGAACAAGTGTTAGCTTCGCGCTAAGTATATTTATAATAGAGTAACGATCTAGTGGTCAAATCTTACCGCTGCGGAGTCAACTAATCGATCTGCATCTCCATAATCCCGGAGTCAAGATGGTCGATCGTAGTCTCATATGGATACGTCATCCAGGGCTGAGAGTACATGTCTATATGAACCATGTGGGATAGCAGAGCATCCCATGCAGCATCAAAACTCTCAGGAATCCGAATGACATATCCACCAGGTGCCTCTGGTCGGTCTGCTCGCTGAGGACGCGAAGGGGGAGGCGGTACCATCTGTCGGTATCCAAACTGTCGGAGGTAACGGGCTGGATCATAGAACTCGCCTATATCAGCGAACCGGATGACTCTAGTGTACAAATAGCGACGCACTGCCTGATGAGGTCTCTGATGGAAAGGTGTCCAAAACACATCAGAAGGGGTCAAGCTGTCAAGAGCTAGACGGTAAAACGCCAGCCTCACACTGGGATCAGCCACAGAACCAGGTGTCGGCTGCCCAATCCATCGTGAAGCCCAAGCCTCATCAGGTCCAACGATAGGTGGCTCGAAGTGAGATGGCCTAAAACCCGGAAAGTACTCGTAGATCCAACACTGCAGAAGTGTGAGACAACCAGCCACCCCCTGGCACCAACACGAGACGCTTGACCAAGGTATCTGTACAACCAAGCAAGTGTACCTGACGCCCAACTGTACTGATCTACCTGTCTCTACTCTTGTCCACAAACAAAGTGGACCCCAACAGCAACAACAAGTACGACTGCGGCTCTGTCACATGTGTCCCGTTCACCTGCAAGTATCTGGACGCCATCTCCGCAAGAAAACCACCCTTCTCGTACAACTGACTCGCTATGACACAACTCCTAACAATGGCCAAGTGTAACCAATGAAAGGGACTGCAGTATAGTGGCTCAAGTAATAAATATCGAATCCACGGGTCTATAGAGTTACTATTACTCAGCTTCAGTTCATTATCTAGCAAACAAGATTAAGATAGAAAAACTAAAACTACTCTACCAAACTACAGTTAAAGTTAATCTAATTACAGGTTGGGAACTCACTTAGGTATGATTCCCCCTAGCCACTAGCCAGATTAATGATTAATGATTTATAACTTGTTTCACTTTCATTCACAATGCGGAGAATCCTTGACTAGACCTCGAGTCTCGACTAAAGGAACAAGGCCCTCTTGAGTCAATTGCCTAGAGGGACGTATCCTTCTCTAGAACAACCGATCAAGGCATTCTGAACTAGATTCCCTCTATCGAATGAGGTTCTCAATCGATACAAAGCAGTGAATCAACCCTCGACTATAGTAATCGATCCACTACTATCAATCTATGGTGCTCTATTGACCTAATCAGGTATTCGCTCTCATAGGATCAAAGCAGAATCAATAATCTCCACTAAAGCAGTATTGAATCATGAAAACATGCATAGATTGAATATGAACTCAAAATTATCAAGTAAGAGTACTCATACAATCATCCAATCAAATAAACATAGCTAGGGTTCCTCAAAACCTAAGTGAAGGGAAGTTACTCCATAGAGAAGAGAGAGACTGCCGAAATCTGATCCAGATCTTCAATCTCCAACTCCAAGCTTGATTCCCGAGCTCCAATGGCGAAGAAATCCTCCAAAATAGCTCCAAGAATGTTCCCAAGTCGCTCTCTCTCTCTAGGGTTAGTCCCTTGGTTGTTTGGGAACCAAAACCCAGCTCCCCCTTTCCTTTGGCTCGAATCTGCCTCAAAAACCTGATTCTGGGCAAATTACGGGCTGAAATACGGTCGGAATTCTTCCATGCCCGTATTTTGCCCAAAACACGCGTTTTGGTTAAGTTTCAGCGCACCCAAAACACGCGTTTTGGTTAAGTTTCAGCGCACCCAAAACTCCTCTCGACAGTGAAAATACGGGCATGGGAGGCCAAATTACGGTCGTAATTCTCCTGCCCGTAATTCTTCCTCCGCTCATGTTCAAAGCTTCGTTTCTCCCTCGTCCGGACTCCAAATCAGTCGCCGTTTGAACCCAGACACTCGTAGTCTCGTCCTCTTTCTTTTCATAACAAACTTCCATGATAATTTGTCCATAATATGAGGTAGAAATCCATTATTCCTCATGTCATGATCGTGTTTCTTCTCCCGAATTGCCAAATGATCTCCGATTGACTTGAAACTTGCGCCTACGCTTCACTTTATGTGCTAGGGCCTGAAATGTGACAAAGGAACACAACCTAGCGTAAAATAGGCCAAAGAAGCGATAATGCAAGCTTAAACGATCAAGAAACAAAGGGGAAAACAAGTGCAAATATCGAGTCATCAACCACTTATCCCTATTACCATATCCAGGGGCCTTCGAACGACCACTCAACTGCTCCGAGTTCAACCCAAGAAGCGCGCACAAACCCACCTCCGGATGGTCAAGCTGCGCAGAAGTCCTACTCATCAGTCGTCCCTCAACAGGAATCTGCAGTAAGTACTGAACATCATGGAGGAGGATCGTCATCTCTCCAAAAGGCAAGTGGAAGGTGTTCGTGTCTGGCTGCCTCCTCTCCACACAGGCTAAGATCAAAGCCTCGTCAATCGCTATCTTGCGGAACATAGAGTAGATCAGGTGCGGGAGACCTGACTGCTGAACCAGATCCTCCGCCTCAACATGGCTAAACACGTAGCTACCCAGATAATAAACTGCCGATGTACGGCTGTAGCAACTGATGACCCCTCGATCTCCAACCCCCGTCCAAAGCGCATAGGAAGCGTGACCACGGAAGCTCCTAATGAAACTAGGATCCGTAGGTCCACCAGGACACTCACCAACAAGCTCCCACGGTGGAGGACCACTCGAACGTCCTCCCCTACTCCGTCCAGTCCCCGAGCTCTCTGTCTCCTCACGAGCAGGTGGTACGAATCGCCCAGCTCGGTCCCTATACATAGCAGGACGTGATGTTGCTGTACAAGACGGCACTCGTCCATAGGTGGAGCGACCTCGTTATCCTCATCAGTATCTTCCTCATCAAACTCAGCCGAGACCACTCTCGATGCAGCACCCTGGTTCCTCCCATGGGAACCAGATGCCCTTGATGCCGAACGAGCAACTACAGTAGGAGCCTCTAACTCATCCTCCCCTAAATTTGCCTCTGACTGATGTCCAATATCTCGAGAGCGCTTCTTCTCCTTATTATTCTTAGGCACCTTCCTTCGTGTTGATGCATCAACAATCCTACCATTGAATCTATGCAACTCACTCCCACTCGCATCATCCATATCTAATTATCTACAAATTTACACAATATCATACTTAGATGCTCACTAATTAATTAAATTTCTATTAACTAATGTACTATTAACATTAATTGTTAATTAATCACAAATTAATTAATTTTCTATTAACTAATGTACTGAATATTAACATTAATTTTTAAATCAATTATTAGTTTTCTATTAACTAATCTAAGTAATTAAACATTCATACACCTATAACAAAAAAAAACATTCATACACAAACTTAAATAAATATTAACACTAATTGCTAATTTCTATTGACTAATTAAGTAATTTTTTATTGACTAATTAATTAACATATTAAATTAAATGCAAAAATCGGTCGGGCCGAAAAAAACCTGCGACCGGTGCGTCGCCGGACCGAAAAAAATTTTGATCGATGCGCCGCCGGGGCGAAAATTTTTTTATGCCGTTTCGACGCCGGACCGAAAACATTTTGCAGGCGGTGCGACGCCCAGCCCAAAATCTCTTTCGGCCCGACGTCGCCCCGACCGCAAAATATTTTCGGCCGGCCGACGAACACGCCGCCTGAAAATTTTTGGCAAGCGTGTTCGGCTGAAAAAATTTTGCGGACGAGGCGCCGCCGGGCCGAAAGAAATTTTCGGCTGGCTTCACGTCTGGCCGAAAAATGCTTTCGGCTCGGCGGCGTTCCGACCATAATTTTGTTTCTACCCGCCGTTTTTTTCGCCGAAAAACTGGAAAACTTGCCGGAAAAAGTAAACTTACTTGTTTTCTGACGATTGAGGGCGATGGGAGGTTGGCCGACAACGGAGGAACGGTGCCGACGACGGAGGCACTTGTTTTCCAACAGAAGTTTTTGTTGGAATGAGTCAAATGTTAATGGTATCCGAATTTATAGAATGCTTGGAAGGGAAAATTCAAAATTTGAATAAAAAATTTGAATTAAATTTTTTTTTAGTTGGCGGCAAATAGCAATTTGGTTGACGGCAAATAGCCGTTCACTAGTGGAAGACCTCCTTGTTAAGGTTGACAGATTCTTTTATCCTGCGGATTTTGTTGTCTTAGACATTGAGGTCGCAGAAGTGCCTCTTATACTAGGTAGGCCTTTCCTGGCCACCACCAAGGCTCTTATTGATATGCATAATGGGACCTTGGTTTTCAGAGATAGTGAGGAGCATATAACTTTTTCTATTGCTAATAACATAACTGCTTTCTCGCCTGTGCATGCTTTATCTCATCATGTGCACGAGCCGGTCGTGTATCCTTCTATGTCTCCCATTTTGCAAGAATCTGCCCCCATTCCTTCTCCACCACTCCCGTTCTCTCCATTACTGAACTAGAAACTAAAGGAAGAGTGTAGATAACTTTTTTCGAATAAAAGACTGTGTTTCCCAACAACGGTGCCAGAGAACTTGACTCGCTACCAGCTACTCAATCCCAACCATAGGCCAAGCTGGGTGCAGTATAGAGTAAGTATTTCAATTATCAAACTCCGGTGATCTATATACCCTTACTTCAATAATCTATAAATTATCTAGCAATCGAAACACTGTTTCAAGCTAATTAACTAAACAAGCAAGCAATTAAAATGAAGTTGAATTCAATTGAGAAAAGTTCACTCAGACGATACTCCCCCTAGTTCTGCACTGAGATGCAAATATGATACTCTAGTGTCTGATAGGTAAACTTTATATACCTTTAGGAGATCTAAAATACTAAGGACCCTCTATTAGAGTGTATCCTAGCCTGCTTAATCAATCCAATCGAAGGGCGTACAACACAACCGCAAAAGATGACTAAGACAAACATTTCAACTCCCTCGGTGAATAAACCGAAACGACGTAGAGTCACCAATCACAACGATTCATGGTGCTCTATGATGATTGAGGAGTGACACTAATTTCCATTAGGAGATTTTCTCCCCTTATGTCAATTTGCCCCAAAATTGAGGGATTTGATCAAGAACACTCAATATGCATGAAAATACCTCAATCAATATATAAATAACAATACTCAACAACCAAAGAGTTCATAAACTACATTCTATAACATCCTAGACTAGGGTTCACATCATCTAAGTGAATAGAGGAACTACTCCATAGCTAGAAGAGAAACAACAACTAGAATAGAAGAAAACCCCATGGGAAAGTGATTCTTACTCTTCCAAGTTGCTTGGATGGATGCTTGGAGATGAAATCTGCTCTCCAAAGGCCTTAGGTAGTTCAAATTCACCTTCAACTCTTTCTTGCTCGTAGCTCTCTCTAGGTTTGAAGAAGAACTCTCAACTCTCTCTAGAACTCCTCTTAAGAAATATGCTATCTCTCATTTATACAGCATGCGAGTGCGCGTTTCGCAATGGCACATCACGCCCGAGAAGTGTGCAACAAAACTGTGATGTCAGCGCAAAACGCGACGTTTCATTAACACGGTTCACGGGTTCGCTGCTGACTTCACGGTCTGGGACCATGATCCTTGCATTGCCCGCAAGGGACACAAAAGCTTCTGCGTCAACATCACTATTGCTGCCTGTGACAATCGCTGCTAGCCCATGATAACTGCACTTTTCTCCACTTTGCTCCCTTTTGATCTATTTTGTCCGACTTTTGATCATGTTGCCCATTCTACCTGTTAAGGTCTGAAACATGCCAAAATAAGACCACGCCTAGCATAAAATAGCTCAAAGGACGATGCACAATAAGTCAAACGACACAAGACAAGGGGTATAAAAGTGTACAATCTATCCTGAATCACAAGCAGGTATTAAGATAAATTTTTCTTTCATTCGGCATTTTTTTAAAAGTGATTGACCTCTTGCTGAAAATGATAGATGCCGTACCTTATATATTAATATTTTTTTTTTGACAAAAGATAATCATATATTGGATCAAAAAAGATAGATAGTTACACCCTGGAGATCAGTCAGGCCTGAAAATCAAAGTAACGACTCATAGTCGTGTACAAAGAGAGGGCCTTCCGAGCCACCATATGTGCTACCCTATTGCTACCCCGACCTATAAACCGAACGCTAAACCCCGGATTACAGGCAAAATAATGCAACACCTCTGCTAGCACAGCTCCTAACCTGCTATCCCTAGTATCAGCCTCCTGGAGCTTATCAATGACCACCTTGGCGTCCCCTTCAAACCCTACGCTAGAGAAACCATGTCCCAGGCACCAAAGGACTGCCTCACGCAGGACAAGCATTTCTACCACGAGAGGGTCATCAATGACTGGGAACTGTATCCCAATGGCCATTAGGATGTCACGGTTCAGGGTCATAAGCACCACGCCTCCTGCTGAATGCGATCCCCTTCTGGTAGCCCCATCCCATCGACAGATAACCACTGGCAACCCTACTGGCGCTGCTTGGTGGACTTCAGTAGCGTTAGGGGCCAGGACAGGCTTGTCAATCGGGAGGCGCACCCATTCCTCATACTGCTGTGAAAACTGACGCATCAAAGCAGCTATCCTATACTGTTTGCCTTCAAAGACCACCCAATTGCGAGATCGCCAGAGGACGGCCACAATGGCCATAAACAGAGTAGGCTGGTGGATGAGCGCCATTACCCTTTTCAGAAATAATGGGAATGTGTGACGAGGCAACCCCTCCCCGAGATGCTCTAACCCAGCTGCCCCCCAAAGTGCTTGGACTATCGGGCAATCCAGGAACAAATGTTCCATAGTTTCTGTTTTCTCCCAGCAAACTAGGCAGCGAAAATGCACGGGATCTTATATATTAATATTATCATGGGCATAAGTGGTTGACCTTTTTTTCAAATTACGCTAACTTATAAATCAGCGTAAACATACCCTATATTATCGTGGGCGTATTAATCTCACACATTCATAAAAATTAAGATCGACCATAAAATTGACTGCTGCGATAAATCAAACCCATGTGCATGGAGGGCACGCTACTTGTGTTTGTAGTGCAGGCCTACATATACCGTCAAAAATGGGGCCAAGCACATCGCCGTAAAAATTTAGATTCCTCAAAAGTTTTGAGGTCATTCTTGTGACGAGAACTCGATGCAAATTTAGGTAAGCTCCCCATGTGATCTTCGTTTGGTAGCTTATGCCCTCCATTCCAACCATCCAAGTTAAATGGACCACTTCAACATGTCATGTGCCCACTTTCAGAGTCCTTTGAATTCTTTTTCAACATTTTCCCTTTGATTTTCCCATCCAGCGACAACCTCCAAAACAACAAGTTGCTGGCTGCATGAAGGAAAGGAAACCCTAGCTACTACCATAAACTCCATAGTGTTGCATCAAATGCAATTGGACAATTGGACAGGGACCCGGATAGCATAATTTATCGTTCAATAATCATGCACAATCCTCCATTTACTATTTAAGGAATGTCTCTAAGTTTTTCTCCATTAATTTTAACAGGTTATTTCTCTTGCATTTGAAGTAATAATTTTTTGCATAAAAAATTAGATTAATCGTGCACATGAATATCACATCCACTTTTATATATTTTAGAACAAAGAAAAATTGAGACATTTATTATCAGTTCATACTCCATACAATGTGGTAATACGTGGTAGTATATAAGATTATACGTGGCAGAAATATACTAACTATTATTACCACCTTTCATCACCGTATACCACGAGTTACCACTCTATACAATGGTGGTATATTTGGTCATGAAATTATTTCTTCATAAATTTGTATATCCAATAGATCACGATAAACTCGTTCATTCTAGGAAAAAATTCTCAAAATTCGAGTTAAAAAGGAAGGTGGTATGAGGGTGGTAAAGAGTGTTGTGATAGTTAAGAAATTTGGTTTCTTGACATATATTGAAAAAAATATCATTTTGTAGATCACAATAAACTCGTTCCATCTAAAAAAATCAAATTTAAGTTAAAACAAGAAGATAAAAATCAATTGAAAAAATAAAAAAATATATAATCTCATTCTATAGATCTGGACCCACTTAAAATTAAGGACTCTAGTGATATGCAGCCTATGTTGGACCAATTGGGGTTACACAATCCTAGAGCCGTGTTCTTGTTCGTTTTTCCTCTCTGATGGCAGAAATCTACCAATTTAGCCCAACTCTACTCAAGTAGGAATTGGAATGGATAAGAAATGAGAGGTATGGCCATGCTCAAACTATTTTAAACATATATCATGCTTTTAGCACGTTAAAGGCCTAAACTTCAACAGATTGTGAATCGCCTCAATGTATATTTTTGGCTAGAACAAAAGACAAATCCCAAGCTGGCTGCGGCTGTTGGGTAATTAATTAATTTTAATCGCTTGGTTAATTACACAATCATACTTAACTTTCTTACACTATACCACAACTTAGAGGCAGAAATTGTTTACTGCACGTTCCATGAGTCACAGGAAAAGATATTTCAGTAGCGAAAACATAATTGAGATATAAAATAAGAAATCAGAGGATTTGGATCTAGTGACGTTGAGGAGCCATTAACACTAGTTGTCACGTCTTAGGTTTCAATCTTGAGGTCTACAATCATATAAAAATAAAAATGCACAAAAAAGAAAGCAAAATCGGCAGAATCACAAAACCCTATCCACTGAAAATATTGGATATTAATAATTCAGACAATTAACCTGCTCACGTCCACTCTTGCCAAAAAAATTTAAACTAGAGTTACAAACAACGCTAAACATAGATGAAAACAGAAGATGGAAGTCATTGCGTTGGTTTCATCACCTATGGCAAACACATTTGTAGTGATAAGCACTGTTGATGGGATCATTGCCTTCAACAGGGACTTGCTCTGCCCTGCACCTGCTCGTCTTGCATCCCCTGCATTCGTTGTACGTGCAGATTGGCGCAGTCGACCCTATCATCAGCCTCCTTCCTCCCTTCCTTCCACTGCTCCTTCCTTTCTTCCCTTCCTGATGCAAAACAGTGGAAGTTTTTTTCCCATGTCCCAAATCATCAACACTAATCCACAGAATAATCTGATGCCTTATGGTTAGCTTAAGAGAGTTGGTCTGACCTGGGCGGTGCGAAGCATGTCCTGCGGCGTTGCAGTTTGGGAGCTCTGAATCAGAAGTTGATGACGATGATGATGATTGTGACTTCTGGGTCCTGCAAGATTTGCATAGTTGCACGTAAGTCGCCAAGATAAAAGGTGGTCAGAGAGCACAGTAGATAGTAAGCAAAAACAGAGTAAAGGGGGAAAAAAGACAGAGTAAGGAAATCAACCTTGAGGAGCGGCATAGGCTGCTGCAGCAAGGACTGCACAAGTGAAGAAGAAGAAGAATAGAAGGAAGAGGGAATGGTACGGTTTGGTGTTGGAAGCAGCCATACTATTCCGGAGCAGGTCCTTTTGGGGTTTGAGGAATTGGGGTGTTAGTTAGTATAATAAAAATACTAGGATATAGATAGAATATATATAGTACTGGAACTGTGTAATATACTGAAAAAGGCTGCTTGCCTTGCCTTGCTTCTGCTTGTTTCCCTACCCCTGGCTTGCCTGGCTGGCTCTGCCTTATGTTATGAAAAAAGGGAGGGAGATGAGGATGTGGGCAATAAATGGCCATAAGGAGATGGACTGTGACTGCACTGAGACTGGACAAAGTCCCGCCCAAACCAAATTATCAACGAGAATCTTATTGTTATTTGTTTTTATATATAACAATGGACCACCAAGGCATACATTTAATATATTCAAACCCTCGTGAACAAGGGCCAAACTCATATGAATAAGGGTAGAAACGAGACAATTAGATAAATTGTTTCATTTTATGAAATGAGACAATTTGAATATAATTTTTATTCCAGATAATTGGAGTTGATTTAAAATGGATAAATAAGACATTTTCTGGCCAAATAGGTTCATCTAATGTTTCTGTTGACAAATAGATCAAGTTGATCTAATTATTTTTGAATGAGATAATTTAGTCAAACTGATAAATTACGATTCATCTCATTTGTGTTCACCAAATCATATTTTTCTAAACAAAGAACCAGGAAAACTGAATCCAATCGGATCGAAGAATACATGTGATAATCAAAACGAAAGGAAAAACGAAATCGAGACAGCATTTGTGTGGTTTCCTTGTTCGTTATGAACAAGTCTAGTACACGGCAAAACTATGTTCTCCTTATTGTCTATAGCCTCACAAATTGTCCAAATAGTCAAATACACACATATACGTGGTTCAGCTATATCACCTATAAACCCTTGCCAAGTAACACCAATCCCCACACCAATATTGGCTCGAGACTCCTAACTCGATCAAGGCGATAATACATGTTATTAATTATTATCTCAACAATCTCCATCAAATTGATGGGGAGTTACCATAATCAATTTGTCTCACAAGAAAGAATGATAATTGGCAATGAAGGCCTTTGTAAACAGATATGCAAGTTAGTGTTCGGGCTTAATATAGTAAATGCGAATAGTATCCTCACGAATCAAGTTTCGAATATAATGAATGTGGACCTCAATGTGCTTTTTAGGATCATAAAGAACATGATTAGTGGTAATATGAATGAGATTGGTGTTACCTTACCTACATATAACTCAATGGGAACAGTGCATGTAACACCAAGATCTTGCAACAAATGATGCAACCACTTGAGCTCAAAAGTGACATCTGACATGGTGCGAAAACCAGCCTCGGTATTGTAGACGATTTAGATACTCAATCAAGTTTCTTGCAACACTAAGAAATGATAAAGTGGCTGCCAGGATAAATGCACCACCCAATAGCGGAGCTATGAGTATCAATGCAACCTGCATAGTTTGAATAAAAAAATGCTTGATGAACCAAAGACCCAATTAAAGGAAGAAAGGGACCAACATCTTTGGTATGGTGCATGTAGCATAAAACATGATGAACAACAGGCAAGTGGTTAGTATGAGGAGCAGACATTAACTGACTAACAATTTAAACAACATAGATAATATATAGACAAGTCAAAGCAAGATAAATAATGTTGCCGACGATACTGTGATACTTCAGATTAAGCTCCACAGGAGTAGACACATGCAGAGAATCATTGTAGCTAGCCATTTACAACAAGTCATCAAGATACTTATGCTGACTAAGTAAGATAGCAGACATAGAATGTGTAACCTCAAGTTCGAATAGTAAGAAATGGAACCAAGCACTTTGAGGTGGAAAGACTGATGGAGGTCAGAGGTTAAGGCATGCATATTTGGCGGTAGCATCATTGCCGAAAACAATCATATGGTCAATATATAAAATAAGTACCATCAGACCCTGAGAAGTATGACGAGTAAACAAGGATTGATCATCAAGACTATGCTAAATTCCCAACCCCATGATTGTGGACTGAAAATCTTCAAACCATACACTAGGCGTATGCTTCAACTGATAGTTCAAACAATGGAGAAGACAAACCTAACCAGATATGCCAAGAGAGTAGCCAGGTGGACACTCCATATACACAGTTTCCTTTAACTCCTCATGAGGAAAGCATTATTAATGTTCAGGTGATACGAAGAGAAGCTACGACCAATGGTTGCGAACGGTGAAAATCTTAACAACAAGGGCAAATGTTTCTTCAACATGAATCCAATACTCTTGAGTAAATTCCTATGCGACCACCCGTGCTTTGTACCTATCAAAATAGCTATCGGGTTTGACCTTGATAGTGAAAACCCACCACAAACCAACAATTAAAATCTCTGGAAGATGTGAAACCAAAACCCAAGTGTTGTTAGCATGAAGAGCAGTGATTTCTTAAGTCGCAGCACCTTCGGAGTGAGGATCATCTTGATCTTGGGAATACTGAGTAGGCACGGATATGGGAGCAACCCGAAAAGACAAATAATACTGATGGTTGGAGGGTGGATTTTCACCAGTGGTCAGCTGTGACTGACAAAGAAAAGCGACGGGAATGGGCGGAGACAGTGGAGACAAAGCAGGCGAGCCGATCAAGGCCAAGTAAGCATACGACACATTAGGGAAGGATGCTAGCGAGGGAGAAGGAGAAGTAGTCGTTGGAGAAGGGAGCAGAGGTTTGGCAGGATCAGGACCATTGGTAGCATCATCATCTTGAAAAGTGGGCAGACTCAGTAAACTATAAAAAAGATGAGGGGACTTGGTGAAGGAAGAGTAGTACATGAGGTTTTCAGAAAAGACCACATTGCAAGTAATACGAGGAAGATGAAGAGAAGGGCCATAGAAAATATAGCCTTTATAAATATGATTATACCCAAGAAAGACATAGGGAGCAATTTTTACGGGTAACTTTGTACGCTTAGACCGAGGAAGAAGAACGAAACACACAAAACCAAAGACACGTTATAGGAGAGTAGGGTGGATTTTAACCAAAAGTTCCAAGCCAAAAGGTGGAGGGAACATGGGAGGCCAGAGGAAGGGCTTGAGTAACTTCCAATACATGATGAATTTCACGCTCCACGTGACCAATTTGTTGGGAAATACCAGCACAAGACTTTTCAGTAAGAATACCAAGAGTCTTGTACAGATTGAGAAGAGGTTTGGAACTAAATTCCCCTCCAGGATTAGATCGAACTACATGTACTATTCTATCAAATTAAGTCTGGATCATTTAAAAAATTCGGTAGCAATGGGTAATAAGTCAGACTTAAGTTGCCAAAAATACACACAGGTGTACCTAGTGGAAGGATCAACAAACAAAGCAAAATATTTACAACCATGATTAGAAGTAACTGGACTAGAACCCCACAGATCCGTGAGAATCAAATGGAAAGGTATGGTAATAGTCGTATGACAATAGGTGACCAAAATGCATGTAGTCTTAGCTTCAACGCAACTGGTGCATAATAAATCACAAGAGTGTGCCACTTTATTACCAAACAAATTTGTTTAAACAGGGCTCCTAGCCAACTAGCATTGGGATGCCCCATTCTAGAATGCCACAGATGAAAAGTTCTATCACCGAGAGTAAAAAAATCAACAATTGATAATACCATAGACACCAACTTAGAAGACTTGGCTGTAGGTAATGATGATGGTGCTTCCAATCCCTCAAGATAGAAGGTATGCCCATGTTTGCTACCCTTGCCTATCTCTCGCCCAGTCTTCAGTTCCCGAACTGAACCATCAAAAGGTGCAAAAACAACACAACAACCTTTCTCACTAAGCTGACTCACATTAACCAAACTGGGAACAAGACATGGAACATATAGTGTATTCGGAAAATTCAAATTGGGACTATTAACCATTCCAATGCCATCTACTTGCAACTTCATGGCATTCGCAACTTGTAGAGAAAGATCATTAACAGGACACACATTGGACATATAGCGACATTTTATTGTCATATGGTTGAAGAAACTGGAATCTAAAATCCAATTGTGGGGCTTATTAGAAGCTTGGAGGCTGGTAAAGGAAGAATCAATCGCCTTGTTCACTAGCTGTTCAAAGGTTGCAGACATGACACCATAATGCCATCAGTCCCAAATTGCGGAGCCACGCTTGTTGTATCATATGTGTCCTTCAAAGATTTCCACAAAGCATTCCATTGCAACCATTTTGCGTTCTTCTAAAAAGATGTAGGAGAAGTCGTAGGTTTCGGTGTGAATCCGTCAAAAAATATAGCAAATCCTTAACCTGGAACGAACATTCTGAATTGAACCATAATGCAAAATTCCTCAAATTGGGATGTGTATTGATACTCTCCTTATACAAAGACACACACCCTGATGCCATGATAATCAACACATAAAGATAATCGAAACAATTTTGAGACAAGATTTATGTGATTTCGTTGTTCATTATGAACAATACTAGTGCACATCAAAGTTAGATTCTTCTTATTATTTTTTGTAGCCTCACAAAGATTCGCAATAACATTCGGCTATATATCACCTACAAACCCTAGCTAGTAACACTAATTCCCACATCCATAATGGGCCGAGACTCCTAACTCGATCATGTTAGGTGTCCTTGTTGCTTGATCCCTAATTAACCTAGTCTCCTTGCCCTAATTGTTCTCTGTTAATCTTGTCCTTGTTAAGTAAGAATAATAAGCTGTCAATTAAGGATTTTTTTATGACCCACGTCTATAAATAACTTGTTGATATGACTTGAATCGGACTATCAGCCGCTACGACTGGTAATCGGGGGTCTCGCTGTATGGGCTTAATGTTATTTGGGTTCGGGTTCTAGGCCTGGTCTGTAACCGTTTCCTTTGCTAGATTGGATTAGGTTTAGACCCACATGGAGAAGTACTATAAATACTTCTCATACTCATCTGTAATCTGTAATCTCCTCGATATAGTGAAACTGGCTCTCTCTCGCCCGTGGACGTAGCTAACACACATCGTGTTAGTGAACCACGTAAATCGTGTGTCTGTGTTTTTCGATTCTCGCTTTCGTATTATTGCTTTGTCGAATCCGACGATTTCCCGATCCGTAGCAGTGCGTTTATAACATAACTTAGTTGTGGTCTTGTCACAAGCAAGCGAGTACAATGTAGTCCTTCAATAAAACGTCAGTCGTGAGCTCTTTCGAGCTCACCATAGATTAGTCTTGTTCACGTATTGTACTTAATCACTTTATTACACACCCACTCAAACAAAAACAGACTCATGAACTTAAAGTTTGCACTGAACCGCCATACCATGTGTTTGTAAACAACGATCAATATTAGGGATGAAATGGT